CAACAAAAATCGACAATATGGTGAGTACTATCGAGAGTTTTTGTCGATTATTGTCGACGCAATTTACTCAGATATGTCTAGCAAACATTAAATCAAGCACTTTGTGGGTACAAAAATGACTCACATCAAACATTCGAAGAATCTCCCAAAAACCTTCACATGCGTGTTTCTGACCTCCAAAACCACCTTGATCCCAATGTACTTCCACCTTGTGTATTTATGTTAAACAAACAAACAAAAAGCCAAGTTATCGAGTGATGATATAAGCCATGCGTGTGCGTTATATACTGTTTCTTATTACTGGCGTAGAAGAATTCAGGTGAACAAATAAAATTATATCCGAGTAGGACAGACTCAACAGAGTATAAGAAATTTTAGTTGATTATTAGCAAAAACGACCGTATATTCCAGTGAGCATATTATACGTGCATGCATCACGATGATGTTTGCATGGAAATAATTAAGAATTTGGATCCTCTTAATTGCTGGAAATTATCATTATCCAAAACAGATTTTAAGACAAATTAAGCCTGATTATATATAATTCCAGCTCATTCTGCGAGGAGTGAAGAATTACTCTGTGTGATGAAGCCATGTGATGCTATCGTATCATGAAATAAAATTCAGTACGTTTCCCTTTTCATCAGCCTCGGAGAAGAAAAGCTCAACTTCTATGATAAATATTTAAACATAATAAACAAAACTAATTTGAGGAATGTTTCCACTGTATGGACACTCGATAATCTTACACTACGTACCGGCATATTTTTAGAGGGCCCTAGTAACTATATTATATATATATATATATATATATATATATATATATATTGACTGGATCTGTGATGATGTATATTTTCCACATATTTATGGAAATCATTTCATAATGTATTTTAACAATCCAAACTATCTATTATTTATAGAACTTAAAAAAAATGAATCTTTATGTACCTAGATATAATGATGGTGTCTCTATCTTGGAGCAATGATACGGGCGGTGTGAGGCCATGAGGCATCTGGAAAAAGGAAAAGGAATGTTTTTGCTAATCAGAGAAGGGCCACTATGTGTGCATTATATTATTTGACATCTCAGAATGGGAGCCAAAGTTTACCTTTTTGACATTTCTCACTTCTGCTGCATTCTTGCATTGACTCTAGAAGAGCTGCATGACATGTGTAATGTCACTTCAAAGTTACCATTTTTTCCCCTTTTCCTATTTAGTGTGTATTTACATTAGTTACCATTTTGGTAACGTGACATGTTTGCTCAAATTCTGTAGATTAAAATTCATTATCACATGTGGAAAGAGTTTATATAGAGTTTAAGTTAAGAGAATTGTTATTGGCATTCCAAAAATTTTATTTTACATTTCAAACTTTTTATATTTAGAAAAAAAAAATACACTTGTGAGGAGTGAAGAATTAAATTTTTAGAGTATCAATAACACTTTCCTAAGTTAATATTGATTAGCAATGTTCACTTATACGCGAGTTTTTTTATATGTTTTATTCTACATTTTCCAATCTTGCTAGTGTTAAAGTAACGAAATTCCTGATAAAAAGGTGATGGAATTGACCAAAGACTCACTGGCCTTGATAGCCATCTAAAACATTTGGAATCAAAAGTGTTTAATTAGAGACAGCATGACTACTATGAGCAGCTTCTTGTCATGGAATAAGAACCCCACAAGCGACCAAAGGTGAGCTTTTTGCGTCTCGATTCCTCCTAGAAAGCTTTAACAAGATGATCGGCTTAGAAATCTGAAAGAGAATTGGGAGTTTCGTTGCCAATTTTGCGGGAAGTAGTGGCCCTGCATGTAATCAAATCGAAGGCATGCATGAAGTTTCAAGTTTGGTCATGCCATGATGATCACCTAGTTGTAATTCCTTAACTTATTTGGTCAATCTTCTGAATCGAATGGGGCTTGAATTCAAAGTCTAAAAGCTTCCGATCCCACTTGGAAAAAGAGCTTGTTCATTGAATTTAGGGTTAGGCGGAAAATATATGTATATTGGAAGGTGATTTTAAAATAACTGAAAGCACTTTTGGTGAAAATAATTTTTAAACCAATCCTTAGTAAAAACCAGTGGATCGTGAAAAAACTTTGTAAGTGTTTCTTGCAAGAAATACATATCTAGTACTTCTTCCAAAAAACACTTAAACTGCTTTTAGAACCGAAAATTAGTTTCACCAAAAACACTTTCAGTCATTTTAAAAGTATTTCCAAACGAGCTCATACAACTACTTCACCTTGATGAAAAACTTTATGTAATGATGCTTTACTTGATCATTATGAATATGTGAAGCATTTAATTATACTTTCATATAAAACTAAATGATAATTGTAGAATCTAGCATTTCGTTTGTTTTTCTTCCATTTTCCTGGGAACCAACCAATAATATACGTACGACCATGCTATCTTGTATTACAATAAAATTGTTCACTGCATATATTCTCTGGATGCTTCTAGCCAAACGTGACCATTTTAGTTAAAAAGGGTATACTTGTCAAGTGAAATTGCATTGAGACATCCCTTGAAGATAAAAAGAGAGGATAGAGTCATGATAAAGAATGGTGGGTGGTGGTTCGTATAATTAAGAATGAAGAATTAGAACCATCGGACACCAATTCTTTCTAAAGTGTTCATATGTGTCGACCGCTCTTTTTTTATGAAACGTAATTTTCGGACATCTCTTTTATTTTTATTAGATACTCTTATTTAATTTTAGTTTCTAAGTTGAAAGAATTAAAAGAGAATTAACAAAAATACTCTTCTAAGGTCTTCATTTTGAGGAATTGTGAGGTCATTTTTCATATGAACTCTCAAATTAATCTTATGGTAGATTAAGTTATAAACTTAAATAATTCATGTTACACCGAAACACAATCATTCTGCAAAGTGATTAAATTTAAAAAAAATTCCGCGTGAAATCTTCCGTCTTCTTCCCCTACTGTCTAGCTCCTCCACATCCCCTTCCTCTCTCCATCTCTCTCTCAATCGTTCACTCCTATTCTCTCCTCCTGAGTTTTTTGTTTTTTCCTTTTTCACATATGAAAAAAGGGAGGGATATGTTTCAAATTTTCATCGTCGGAAAATTTCATATGAAAAAAAATTCACATGTTCAAGAAGAAGGGGATCCCAATTTTTCAAACCACACAATCTCAATTTTTGGTGCTTTGTAATCAACTAGGCTTGAATTATTAAAATCTGGATGAAATTTGATATGTAAAGTTATTAGAGTTTTGTGCAATTGGATTTGTTGGGTTTAGACATTTCGATGAGCATACTTGAAACTTCTTCTCTCTTCTTATTTTATTTTTGTTTGTTTTATCAATTAGAGTTTTATTTCCGTGTAACAAGAATTATTTAAATTTATAGTTTAATCTACCATAAGATTATTCTGACGACTGATACAAAAAAAGACCTCATAGGTCCTCAAAATAAGGACTTTAGAGAGGGCATCTCTCGAGAATTAAAGGACAAAAATAAAGAAAAATGTGCAGAATAAAAAAAATTAGTGTTCGTAAATAATTTTTTTTTCTTTTTATATATTTAACTATCTGGGAAGATGTAGTGTATACATATGATGGGTCAATTCAGTAGAATGTACAATATTCATACTCTTACCTCTATGGATGTGCATAGTATTTTAATTACAAAAAGGCTCTTGAAAGTGGGAAAAAGATGATTTATAAAGCTTGAAGCGTGGAACGGTTATGCTGAGCAATGATTTTGTCTAACAAGTATGCCCAGCTTTCCAAGATAAACACCGAGGGTACAAGTTTAATTAATCTTAAAATTAAAGCTTAATTACCAAATCCAACAAATACAGCCATTGAGGAACAAGAAGGTTTCTCTACCAACTCCTCTTTTTTTTTCTTTTTTTTTTTGGGTGTATGGCATGCTTTGGCCATCATATGACGGGGGCCATATATCTCTCTTATACATCATGTGATGTGTATCATCATTATGTTGCTCGAACGGAGTACATAATCTTAACGAGAGTCTCTTCGAATTGCTTGCTGCAGAAAGAGCACGACGATGATGATGTTTGATTCACTGCACATGTTTTTTTTTTTTTTTTTTTTTTTTTTTTTTTTTTTGAAGAAGAAGAAGAAGACTGCACATGTTGTTTGATCATGATGTAGCTGCAAACATGGGGTTTCAAGCTATGAACAGAAGCACGTAGTGCAGAAGAGATTTGGAGCATTCCTTTTCCTATGTCATCACTTTAGCAAGACAAACTCTCGAGAATTTGGACTTCCGTTTTACAGAATTGGACCTTTCTTTCTCAGTTGAATTGGCCCTGGGAAACAATATATGGGTCAGTGGGTGTGGCAAAAGTTGAAACTGATTGGACTCAAATTTTAGCCCAACTCAACTTGAAAAACACTATCCAAGCCCAAAGTGACTTGGACTTTGGGTCGGGCTTGTTTACTTGTTAATGTTGTATACTTTTTATGTTTATTTCTCACTCCTCACGTGTTTGTTGTATACTAGCTTCGTTCTTTCTAGCTCTCTTCTCGCATGACGTTAGCAATCACGCGAAAAAGGTTATGAACTATTTAGATATAGTATGGTGACAGGTAAGGTTTTTTGGTGACATGTAATAGAGAGGAGAAACCATGAGTACTCTGTAGTGAGTGCAAGGGTATGCTTAAACAACTTGAAATGTAATAAAAATGCATATTAAATATTAATAAGCTATTACAAAAGAAAGATTCCCACTAAGCAGGATAAGCTAATGAACATGATGAAATGCTATATGGAATAAAATCTTTGACTTGGAGGATATAGCACATAACCTAAGTGGGTTATAATTTAACAGAGTTTAATTGTTGCTGATCACTATTCTGTCGTATATTTTCCTACTTGCGAAAGACATCGGTAAACATAGTTTAATAAAATATGCACATAACGAAAATGAGCGTGTGTAAATCATCTCTCAAATTTTATTTGCCCTCGCGTTTCTCTATTTTTCTAGGGATTACATTGATTTAATTAAATAAGAATCTATCACAAAATAGAAGAATACGTAACGAAAAAAACAGGAGTGTGAAAATCTCTACCTATTTGTTTTCTTGGCGACCGAACTATTCTATGCAGTACACAGAAATGGAACACAGCACTGTGGTTTTTGTTCAGGTTTTAGAAGTGGGGAACACAACAGAAAATGGTGGAACTGGAGCCACTAATTAACTATGCTTACTCACGCACAGTCCTTTAATCTGTCGTATTAGTATGAAAACCTCATGATTCAGATTACTAATCACAGCATGAAACCTGTCCTGCTTTGCTTCTTATAAAGCCAGGGGCCCTCCACAGCACAAAACATCGATGATCAAATGGAAAAGCCAATGTTGAACTTGGTTATAGTAATATGTTACCTTTGTAGCAGCAAACTTGTACTGTCCGGTCATGCTATCGAATCGCCTCCCTACAGGGTGGTGCACTCTGAATCGGAGTTCGAGCTCAGACTCTACAAAGAATCCTCATGGATGTCTGCTCTCGTCCAAGACACAACCTCTTTCGAAAAAGCCACCAAAGACGGATTTCACAGGTTCACCAGCACTAAATGTTTTTCTTCTTCTTCTTCGCTAGTGATATTAACACTCCTTCTGTAGCCTAATACGCAAAAAAATGTAATCAAATACTCAGTTTAGACCGCATATGGCTAATCGTTACCTTTTTCCTAATTTGGCGATTCTCATTGATATTGAAACTTTTTTTTTTTTTTTTTTGGTCAGGCTGTATCAATACATCCATGGTGCTAACCTCAACTCTTCAGAAATTAGCATCACGGCTCCTGTCTTAACAAGCATTGTGCCGTCAGTGCACGGGCCGGCAGAATACTACGTGAAGTTGTATCTGCCTGCCAAATATGAAAGAACACCTCCACAGCCCTTGGTCGAACTGAATTTGCAGTTGGATAATTGGAGAAGCCATTGCATAGCAGTCAGAAAGTTTCCAGGGTTTGCCAAAGATGACCGTTTTTCCAAAGAATTTGAAACTCTTGTGAACAGCCTAAATAAGCACTTAATTGGAAAGCCAGCGATTCTGGAAGCTGAGAGTCCTTATGCCATTGCTCAGTACAATGCTTCGTATCACCTTTCTGGGCGCCTAAACGAAGTGTGGATGGATCTTTCAGGAATCACTGCTGATTGCTGAGACATCTGCATATTGATAATAACATGGCTAAATTGTATGATTAGTCCCCGAGTTTTACTAAGAGTTTCATTTTCTTATAGTTCTTTTGTCCAACCCGTCAAATAAAGCAAAACTCCTTTCAAGTTGGGGGTTCTTCAAATGAGAAGAAAGTTTACTTAGCTGACGGATTGGATTAAAGTGAAAACAAACAAAACTACAAGAACGAAAGTGAAACACCGAGTAAACTTCAGGGACCTGTTATTTAAATTTGGCCTCTTAATCTTGATGCGTCTATTGTGTAATATAATTTCTCGCAGATATCAGCAAGGGATGTCTGATATGTAGAATAAAATGGACATCTTTCATGTAAATACAAAATATCCCACTATAATTATATATTGATGCAGTCAATGGAGTATTTTACAAAATTACTGAATATATTGCTTCTTGTAGACAGGGTAGAAACAACATCTTTGCAAAACAAGGGTAAGGCGGAGTACGATAGACATTCCTTCCCGACCCTCTCAAAGCCGGGAGCCTTGTTAGCTTGGGTCACCCTTTTTATTGCGTCTTGTAAACAGGCCTCCCTCAGACGATACAAATGAACCCTCATGTAAATTTGTTTCATTATTTATTCTCATTAACAATGACTAACACACAAATATAAAAGAAATAAATCACATTTGGGGTCTTGTCTGGACAACATAGAGTTTACCGTCCCTGATCACGCCTTCAATGTCTTGTGGAGATCCATACAGTTCCTCGATTGCACTTCCTGCACGAGCAATGCTAGAGAGGATTGTCTTGCGAAAGTTTCCGTCAACCATAAGCGGGTCAGATGAGTAGTCGACCAAGACTTTCTCTTCCTCGTCCATAGGGACACTGTCATTAAATAATCATAAAAATAAGTGCATTGAAGTTTATGTGCTTTTAAGTGCATATGTTATGCTAACATAAAACTTGACTATGAATCTGGCTGTAAGTAATGATTGCCCGGGAGAGATGTTAGGGACTCTACCTGTCATACAGGCCTGCACCAGCATAACCTTCGAGATCTTCACCATTGGAATCAGATCGAAAGATTATGGATCGTCTTATAAAGAGGCCGATGGGTTTGCTAGGGTAACCCAACACCTGAAAAATATCGACACACTCGTGAGTGCAAATAATGGCAGGTCCAAAGAAAAGATACGTATTCGCTAGTTTCATGGTTGTGACAGGATTAGTAGAGCTAAAGCCTATAACCAAGTCATTATTCTGCAGTACGGAAAGTTTTACGGTTATATATTACTCTTGAGATTACATAATCCATGTGGAAATTATCAACACAATTCATGGTCCTCCATGGAATTTTATGTCATTCTTGGTGAGAGATGGAGAAAAATGTATTACCTGAGGAGAGTCCAGATCATTCTTTTTGCTAATAAAACTTAGAGCACGTCCAGGATAAGCTCCAACTAGAGTCTCTCCAAGTCCCTTAACAACCTATCACAGAAAACGACTCAGATCAGTCTCTCTGATATTAGTCGAAAATATCTTACCTAAAAACTACCCTATACCTCAGCATATATCTCTGATGAGTCTCCTGAAGATGGGTTAGTTGTATGAATAACGAATGCATAGTCAGCATTTATGATTTCCTGAACAAGGACAGCCATGCAGAGATACTCGTGATCTAGTTTCACTTTTCTCGTGCTGAAGTATGCTCTCTCGTTCCACTTTGAAGCCCAGACCTGAATTGTAACAGATGAGCATGCCCCATTTATCAGCAAAAATTCAAATTAAACAATATCAGCAATCCAGCATTAACTTAACATTCAACTCGGATATCAAGTTATGTTTGCGATAAGAAAAGAGAACTTGAGAACCGAAGAGAATCAATTCACAATGGTGGCTGGCCCATATGTATTACCTAAGGGTACGATTACCTCAACACTATTATTAACGCTGGTTAAATTCTTAGCTCTATAAGATTTAAGAACCACTGGATTGATTTAACTAAAAGAATTTATGTGGGCCTATGCAGCAAAGCAATCTTACCTTTTTTATAGCCGTCCATGCTTGTTCCCACCGTTGTTCGCCTTCATCACCAGGCCAAGGCATTCCTGAACTTTTCATCGTAGTCTTCAGCTCTTGCACCTGAAATTAACTCCCCACATAAGCTAGTATCGTTCACTTAAACTATATTATTCTGCCTGCAGGCGCCATAGAATTTTCTCCCCTAAAGGAAGCGTTACTGGTTTTTATGGTATATCAAGAGAAGAAAAGAACCTAATGTTTGAGTAGCGAAGTTATTCACACTTGAACTTCAGTTTTTGTGAGTGTAAAGGCGACGTGTTGCTTTTTTAATAATTTATGATGGAAAAACAAGTGATGGAATGCCACAGATTTGAACATAGCCCTGAGGAGTTTATGTGATTGTACACTATGAAATGGAAAATGCATGCTTTGTAAACTTATCTGTATCAATTTTGACAAAAAAATAAACCTTGGAAACCCGCTAGTAGAAAATACATACCAACTGGGGTGGTGCTGCCATCTGTAAAACTGTTTCCCGAATCTCCTTGAGTGAATCAAAATTTCCGTCCCTTAACTTTTTCTTTAGAGTTTCCAACTTTTCAGCCACAGCCTATAAATTAAAACAGACATGAGAGACGGAAATTGAGTTATTATGAAACTTCAGACAGTTCTAGTTGAAGGATAGTAGAGCATCACAGCTGCATAAATAATATCTACACATATATGTGTGTGTGTGTGTGTGTGTGTGTGTGTGTGTGATGTGATTACAGTAGTTTTGAGGTGAGGAAAACCTTATTCGAATCTTCTGAAAGAACCTTTTCGAATGATCCAAATGGTAGGGCAACTGATGTAGGAATTCCAACCCAAGACGGAAGTTTTCCTTTTACATAAGCAATATTACGTGATTTAGCTCCAACCTGCAATCCCCACAGAAGTATACAAAAAAATAAAGAATCAGGAAAATTGCATAGTATTAAGGATTCTTTTATTAATATGTGAAGACATTTTTCCCAACCCCGTCAATTGTGAAATAGAAAAAAGAAAAAAAAAAGGAAAAGAAAATAACTCCCTAGCTGTAAGTTGAAAAACGTTTTGAGCTTACCATTTCACTTGTGAACTCATCAGATGATATGGCATATCTACCAGTAAATTCTTTCTTGACCAATGTTAGAGATGGAGTGTCTTCTCTTGAATCAGTTGAACTCGCATCTAGCTCACCCTCATTGACCTCACTGAAAATATACATGAAAAAAATTGAAACATTGTATTTTGTTTTTTTTGTTCATCCAACTGCATTTGAGAGGCAAGGCTTTCAACAATGGAAATTACAACGCAGTGGATTTTTGAGTGGACGGAAACCAGTTTATCAGCACAACAGGAGATAGCACATTAACATTTTTCAAGACCAAGTTTCAGGAAAAAAGGTACCTATAAACTATATCAGCAGGTGTTGGCTTTAGACGTAATAACTTCCCTTCACTAGCTTTGAGGTCGGCCAGAATATTGGGGTCAAAGCATGTCGCAAAACATACCTGCAAACAATAAGTTGGTTATTTCACCAAAAGGGTCAATTATACAGGAAGCAAAATTACGATTGATGAGCGATTATTACCTTGCTATTTCTTGCTCGGACAGAAACATGAGATAGGACGTCTGGCATATCAGGTGTCAGCACTGCAACAGTACCATCTGGAATTTCTTCCTCACCCTTTACAGTTTTTGCCACCAAAATTGTGGGCTTGCTGTAAACTTTATTCTGAACAGTGAGTAATTCATCCACATAGACCACATATCCAACCACTTCAATTGGGCTGATAACCTGCCAACTGTCCACGATAACCGAAGTAACATCAGAAAATTTATCACAGCACTTAAGTGAAGATTTTTGACAATGTAGATGTTAAACCTTCTTAGTTTTATAGCACATCAGAGTGCATTTATTTCATTCTATTATCATTAGAATCTTTCTAAGTATTTGAGATTAAACATGATATGATTGACTAAACAATGGCAGCACAATATACCTTCCCATATGAGCAGTCTTTCGAAGAACCGGATCAAGCCGATTAAGGAGTGAGGATAAAGAGGCAGCTGATCCAGCACGGATTATTTCTTCGGTAAATATGTTCAACTGCAAGAAATTATTATGAGCACAGAAATGGAAGCTATATATGTGATACAAAATATGTAACAGATTATACATACAGCCCATTGGTCCACTCCAAGCTGTGCTCCAAGGTATTCTGCTGACGGCTGTAAAATACTGAGATATGATTCTGCCTTGTATGCAAGCGCAAGGCGGGTTCTGTCTAGGATTGATTTTGAATATAATGCCCAGTCATTACTGTTACTTTTTAACATGTTTTGAGCCTGATCCCATCCCTTCATAAAAAAATGAAAGAACTCAAATATTAAGCCAGCATCTTGGAAATGTAAACAAAAAGGGAGAAGTCCCAATTTTTATCCGAGTCTCAAAATTCAAATTGACTTGAATTCTTATGAATGAAAATAAAAAGAATACACAAAAAGATTTATTAAATTTATGACTAGATATTTACCTTCAAACAGTAAATGAGATCCTCGTTATCATCTGATGACAGTGCCAGGTTTTCCAGAACCAAAGAGATGAAGTACATAATTTTCTGCATAATGCATAAATCAGTTGATCAAGAAAATAAACTGTGGAGTGTGTGATTAAAACCGGTCATCTTAAGACTCAAAATTGCTGCAATATTGGTGAAGAAAACACAGAAAAGGACGAAATTAATTCTCAGACATGTAGATAACTACTGAGAGTAAATATACCTCTGGCCCAGCATTATTCAGTTCTTCATATCCCCTCTCAATAGCGGTCCTAACAGTAGAATCAAGGGCAATGTCCAAAAATAAAAGATCCCTCAGACGATCATGAGGCTTAGAGAGCAATGTCCTAAGCCCCTGGCGCGCCTCAAGCAAACCCTGAATTAAAATTAAAGGAAAATTGAAAATCAGAGAGAGAGTACCAGAAAGGCGGAAAAATAATTGCCAATATAAAATTTTCACAAACCTCAACAAGGACTTCCACATTCCTGTCTTCAACATGTTCTAGTACAAATCGCAGGAGATCCTGATTCAAATAAATGTCAATATGCAACTTATTAGTTATTTGATTCAATTCAACCATCATAAGAATTTGAAATGGGGGTTGCGAAAATTACTGGAACTT